GTTTTGGCATCTTGAAAAGATCAGATGAAAACAATCATGAAAAAAACACTTTCCATGATCTACTAAAAAGCAAAAGTTTTTTTCAGCACTCGATAAAAACTGTTGCTTTAAAAGATTAAAGGTTTTTACATTTTTTTTTTAGCTTTACTGCGTGCAAATTTAAGTAAGCAGCTAAACTGTTCTGGCTTCAAAGTAAAGCTAAACTGCAGGAGTCTTGCAGTGAGCGGCATCAGATTAGAGAGCAGCAGCACTGCTTTACTCTAATCTCCATTAGGGATGTACGGATCCAGTGCTGGAAAGTCACCCTAAAGACGAATATTGGAATATATTGGCCTGCAACAAATATCTTTAATATAAGCAAGCACAAAGAAAAACTTCCACTTTGTTTAAAGTTTAACAATAAAGGGAATAATATCAGTAGATCAAGTTTTTCCAAAAGTCCACACTACAAAATATGTAATAAAAGTATCTATGATTTGGGCTGATCTGGTATTGGTTCGATATTAGTATTGGTTCATAGTTAGAGCTGCAAAAATCAGTATTGTTTAGGAAATAAAAAGTGACACACTTAATCTATACAGCTTAAAAATACACCTTTTTCTTGAGGAATTTATGTTAAATCTAAAAAATAAACTTTAAGCAGTAAGTTCAGTATGATGGGAACTCTTGATTTTGTTGAATATTGGACACATGTACCCAGACGCAGAGTTATTTTTCTTAAGCTCTTTGAATTTATTTATTCTGTTTTTTTCTCATTGGCAGCCTGAAACGTTTGACTGTGATGAGGAACATCTTGCAAGCCAAGGCATCAGAACAGACACCATCAGCCTCCTTATGAAAATAGAACAGCTTCAGGCACAGCTAAAATATGAGCGCAGATGCAGGATTTTGGCTGAGAGAGAGCTGAGGGAACTGAAAGGTGGGTGGAATCTGCAAACACTTCCTGCCGTTAGCACGTCAGGCTCTTATTTGCCTTAAGGCAGATTACTGTTGAAGTCACCTTACATATCGTAGTTTAGCTGGTTTAGCTATCTCCTCCACTCTATTAGCAAAATATGTGGTACACCTTGGAAAGGTCACCATTCTATCACAGGGCAGAGACATACAAAAATGCAAACACACACTAGCACCTAAGAGCAATTTAGAGAAACCACCAATCAACCTAGCTTTCATGTTTTTGGACTGTGGGAGGAAGCAGGAGTACCCTCAGAGAACCCACCAATACACAGGGAGAACATACACATACAGAAAGACCTTAGGGTAAGAACTGAACCTCTTGTTACAAGACAATAGTGCTGCATTTTCACCACTGTGCAGCCTAAACGAAGAACATAACTTCAGAGATTTTCGGGTGCAATTGTATCTTCTTTGTATAAAAGCAATAAAGAATAACATATTTGAGAAAAACAGTAGGCTATGTTCATAACACTGGCAATAATTTATAGAATTCAGGAAAACACAAAATAACAGCTAGAGTTTGATAATAATCTCTTGGTTTCCTTTCCAAAATAATCAGTAGATTAAAAGCATATTTAGAACATGGGCCTGTTGCATAATCAGCATGAAGCTATAAAGCACAGAGGAGAAAGCATTATAAAAAGGAGGTTACCAAGCTTTCCCAGGGCAGGAACATATACTTCAAATATAGGGAACAATAAACGAAGAGCATCACTGCTTTATTTGGTTTAACATGAAAATGCTCTGAAAACTCCAGCTTATCCACCAAACCTTTCTTGCAGCTGTATATTTTTGTATAGAGTGCATACTTCCCATATAAAATGTGTTTTACAAGTGTAATTGTCTGTTTGCAGAGATGAACACACTCATGATGCAGATGAGGCACACAGCAAATGAACTTCGAGTAACTCTGGATCACGTTCTCCATGGAGGTGAGGCAGTAGTTGAGCCACAAAACCACAACGAACCTGTGACCTTCCTGGGGGAGTCCCAAGTTCATGTTGGAGGAGTTCATAATATCCCAGAGGTCAGTGTCTTTTTACCAACACAACTGTTAAATGATAAATCAAACCAAACCTATATTAGGATATTTGTATGCTTCGTTTCACCAATGTGATAAAGCTTATGTACTCTGCAAAATCGATCTAGAAAGAAGTAAAAATGTATTAAATTAGGTGTATTTAACTGTAATTTGAGTAGATAGATAAGATGATTTGCAAATGGAATTAGTATTTTTACTCTTAGATGAAGACAGTTAGATAATATGCACTTGAAATAAGACAATGCAGTTGGTTATTCTTATTTTAAATGCAAATTGTCTTGTTCCATTGGCAAAGTGTCTCACTTACGTCCTCAATTCACGAACAAATCCACTTATTTTAAGAAAAAAAGGGCTTATTTAGATTTACATTATTTGCAGTGTATGAATTATTGATCAGTGTAATTAAATTCTCTTTTTTGTTTCAGGATGACCTTAACTTTGTGTATCTTGCTGAGAACATTCGAGTGCCCAAAGATCTCTATGAGCGTGTCGCGGACATGTCTGACTTTAAGAAGTATGTTGGAGCTCTGCTGATGATACTCTTCGACAGAGACACTTTGGCCACACATTGTCTGCAGGGCCGGAAGAACAACTTTACAGGAGAGGAAAGCCACAAGCCTCCTCTCCCACCTGAGATTTTAAAAAGCCTCATGGGTAGGATAAATAACAAAAATGAAAACTTCACTCTTGCAGCATTGCAGCATTACTTTGCAATGTGTTTCCTCCTGTCCCTTTTTTAGATCACGTTGCTGAGAAGTTTGGCGTCGACAGCACCCAGATTAAATACGCTATCCGCACAAAGCTGAACAACGAGGACAAGCTTCTGAAGAAGAGGCTTGGGCTAGCTAAAGCTGAAAACAGGGTAGCTGTTGATCAAACCTTCTGCCAAGATGCTTCACTTCTGTCTGGAAATGATGCAATGGCGAATGACTCTGAGTTTTAGCGGCGCCCATCTGGCATGGTATTACTCTCTGATCTCAAAGTGTTGCCTTTTTTAAACCAAGTGAAACTTTCAGTGTTTGTCATACGTTTTTAGGCTCCTGTATTTTTTTCTTCTTTTTACTCTGACAGCTCTTTGCTGCCTATTGAGTCTGAGGAGTTGATAACACTATAAAGTTTTATGTGTGTATAACCTAGCGTTACTAAGCATAATGGTCTATGATGAGGTGATTTTATATGTGTGGTAGCGTAGAAACAATAATATTCAATCTCTCAACCCAGTGTACCTTGTATGTGCACACACCAGTGCTATGTGTGATCTTTTTAAAAGCTGATGTTGCATTTTTGACTTTTTCATTCAACTTCAGACTTTGATTTCAGTTATAAACACCCTTTTCTTAAAATAATCAGCTCTCATGTTTTATTTCGTCTATGTACTGTAACTTTCTATAAGTATATCAGTATAATAAAGTTTAGAACGTCCTCTTTGTCGTGCATTTTTCCTGCTGTCAGTCAACAGATGTCAGCACTGAGCCTTGTTAAAACTTCCCTGGAAGTAAATTTGAAACATGAGATTTATGTCCACTGTGTCAAAGTACACGTGTAACAGTTTTCTTTTTTTTTTTTACTGTATGATATAAAATTAACCTTTCCTGTTTTTTTTTGTCATTTAGGATTCTGAAATAAAATATATCTACCAAATGCCAAAATCGTAGATATTTGAATACATTTCCTTTGTGTTTGACAGATTTGGAATATGTTCACTTCAAACCATTTAATTTCTTGTCCTGAAGCCACTTGGAGTTATTGGCTATTTGTTAGATCCATTTGGGCTTAAGCCATAACTTAATGACCAAGCTCTTGACTTATTAACTCAATATTCCAATAATGAATTTGATCATTCCGTAAAAATTCAAAAAATATCCACTGGACTTGGTTTTCAAGATTTGAAGACGTTTCGCCACCTCTCCAGGAAGCTTTCTCAATTCAAATGAATTTGATCAGGAAAATGTCCACAAAGCATGAACTTCCCAACCCTAGATTTCACTGATTAGATTGATTGCTCTAAGCTTGGACAGTTTCACTTTTGTTATTCAAAAGCAAAACTAGATATTACAGCCAAATATCCTTGTTTTAGTTTAATGAAATTACAGAAAATATCTCTTTCTAAAGGTTTTTGTCCCTAATTCCATGTGCAAGCTGATCTCTTTTTTTTTTGTAATGCATCTTTAGAAACAATGTCTTCCTCCCCTCCTAGTGGCCCTTTAAGCCATGTTAATGGTAATTGACTCCACAAGATAAGAGAATTCAACCTGCAAGGTATTTTTTTTTTCCCAGAAAGGTACATTAAAAATTTTATTGCTGTTTATACTTGGACATCATTGTTTTAATGGATGAATGCTGAACCTTAAGCATTTGGAAATTACACCTAAACATGAGCAAGGCTTGAGGAGACTTGACAAGACTTTTATATCGTGGCTTATTTGTTAAGGTTTTTTTTCAATATGTTTCAAATGAGAAAGCAGTGTGTTTGTTTGGAGTGCTGTCTTTGATTTTGTCCACAGGTGTGCCTCAACTTGATTGAAATGTCTTGGATTAACCTGTAAAGCCAACAGTCTAACATCATCATCTGGGCTTTTAAAAGTTCAGTTAAACATTTTGCATGTTATCAAATTGAAATAATTCTGTCAATCCTAACTGATCTGAAACAAGAAATGTTTAGTCTGATTTAATCTGAGAGCAAGAGAATTAAATTGTCTTTTCACATTGCAGTTTCAACTGTATCATTACCTCAGTAAGGTGCAAAAAATAAAACAACTGCTCACTTATTCTTTAGTTATTTAGTTATTCTATGGTTTATGTCAGCAGAATGTGAGGGTTGCTATTAACATCTTTTTTATTTGAGGTGATTAACGGTTTATGGCTCCTCCCTCTTCTGTCCCTGTAGCTATCTGAGTTGCCTGAGTCAGATCTCACAGATCATTCCTCTCACTCTCGTGCAATCAGCCCTTCTTCAGGTCATATGTTCCTTTGAAAAAAAAAAAGGAGTATTCTTTTTATGAAATATTTCAACCCAGCGGACGACTTTTGGACTACTGAAGGGAGTTCAGGAGAGAACCGAGATTGTAGGAAGGGTTCAGCTTTTTAAGAAAATCTCCAAGGACCAAGGGCTACTCTTAAACGTAAGCTTTGTTACAATTTTATATGAATAAGCAAACATTTTTTTTTATAAACATTTTATAAAAATCAATATACAGGCTTTGAAAAAAGGACTTCAGTTTATCATCAGACCTGCATGGTTTTCAGGTGTCAAAATAAAAATTGTCCTAACTCCTTAGAAATAATGAACAAATGAAAATATGTAAATGATAAAGAAAAAATAGAGAATTTCTTATCAAGCAAATTTTATGTTGAATAAGATCAAATAAAATATAATAATTCAACATTTTATTGTAATCATCTTCTGAATTCAATTCAACCATGTAGTTCTGCAAAACGTTTTAGAAAAAGTGGATACATCTAAAAATGTCTACATAACCTTTAATGACAGAACATTAATTAATTATTTCATTCAGTTTCCATTATTTTTTTCCCCTCCTTGGATTAATCTGGAGTTCCTTACTTCATATCTATAGTTAAAAAATTTGCTCAAAGTAATGATGTGCCCTACGTTTTTAACAGCAAGTTATATTGCAAGCTAACATTTTTAATGGTTGCAACTTATTTAAAAAGTTATAATTCTCAGAAACTTTCTATATTAATAGCTTTTTTTCTTGGTTGTGGTTTTATTTTCCTTTTCTTTAACTTATGCGTTGATAGAGTTTTATTATGCTGAATGTATTTAACTAAAAATAGTCCTGTTGGACACTATTCAAGCATATTGGGAGGCATTAACCTTTTCTGAACAAGCAAACTCAAAATTTTATGAACTGTATATTTCTTAGATATCAACAGAAATATGTAAATAGAATTTCAATAGATAAATCTCTTTCTATTTAAAAAGGTCAAACAGACCTAAAGCCATCAGCGTATCCAATCTGCAACTAGAACATGACTGAAATGAGAACAACCTTACATAATATGAGGATGTACATTTGTAAGTCCCTTTCCTGTGGATAAACCTCTCTATAAAACTGGCACACCAGTCACTCCCCATCAGAGAAGATTATAGCAGCAGAAAGCATCCGCATTTAGGAAACATTCTCTCAAATATGAATTCTAAATCTGATTTTCGAACAATTAGTTCATACATGTTCAGAGAGCCACATATACTTAAAAATGAAATGCATCTGAATGAGTTAATAGTAGATCGAGCCTCTGCTTCATAACTAGTCCCAGGCATAAGTGTTTTGTAAGTTATGTTGTGATTTGTGTGAAGAGAGGACACTCTTTGATGTTATGATGAAGGGTGACACTGATCAGACACTAATCGCTGCTATGCAAGTGAACATTTCCAGAGATCCTGCTTTCCATCAGCTTTAGTAACACATAACACCTCCTATTTTTTTATGTTAATATTCATATTTCTTTTGCCTATTATAAACATAGTGTTTTTTTTCTATACTTTTCATGTGCTTTTTTTTATATGAATCTTGTTTGGAAACTGGTATACTGACAGCTTTAAAAAAATGCTTTTGTTCTAGCTTGTATATTTGTTTGATATAGTGTTTTACTGTTAATTGTTACAAGATCATATCCATCAATATGATCAGCGTCCATCATCTAGTCTTTGGAAATTAAGGAAAGGCAATTTAAACTTGAAACTGGGGAAGTAGAAATTATTTCTGCAATTAACTGTTTGGTATAGGTAAAAAAATCAGTTTCTCCTTTGAAATTTTAATTTCACATGCCCACAATGTTAATTTTCATGGCAAAACATTGTATTGTCTTAACAATTACAAAACAAATTAATAGAAAAAGGGGGCTCTGTTGCAAGGAACGAAGTCGATATATTTGAAATGTTTGTTGTGAACATGTAGATTTATTATTTTTGGAGTACAAAACATCCCATTTAAATGTTGTAAAATAATCAAAGTACTTTAAAATCAAAGTAAAATAGACTTAGTTAATACAAATAGTGGTTAATAGTTTAGGGTTTTAATAATGAGCTTTAAAAAGCTGTTATTAACTGTTATTAACCACATTATTTGGTTGGTTTCAGTAGAAACACTCTGGCCTTATTACAGCCTGATGTATAGAATCAAGAAATCTCTTAAAAGGAACCTGGATGACGACATGAAAACCAGTGACAGATGAGACACAAATCTTCTCACATCTTTCAGTCTGGAAAGGTTAATGAAGCCATTCCCAGGTCTTTAAAACCCTAGTTAACAAAGGTAATCACCATTATTCACAAATGAGGAAAGAATCGGTGATTAACTTTCCCAGTGGTGGCTGGCCTAAAAACATCACTCCAACAGTGTATTGAAGATTCATCCAGATGGTCACTATAGAATAAAGGATCATTTCTAGATCACAGCAATTCTATTGCATCACTTAAGATCCGTGTTCTTGATTTAATAGGAATAAGATAAAAAAGAAAAGAATGTGATGACCATTCTTCCATTTACTTTATAACATTTTGATGATCATCTTTGGGATAAAAATTTGCAGTGGCAAATCAAAAGTAGAGTTCTCAACAGAAAAATCTAAAGCATACCTGAAAAGTTAAATTTGGATGGCCAAAATCTGATTGAAAAGCTGTGGCATGACCTGATAGAGTAATATTTACGCAAATCAAATGGAAAAGTTGGAATATGGGTTCTGTGGGATAAAAAAATCAGAGTAAATTTTACATAAATGAGCAAGCAAAGGATCATATTTTAAACATGAAAAACGTAAGTATGCAAATGTTACATTTACTGTTCGTTCTTATTGTCTGGAAAATTAGTTTTTTACTTTAATCTTTATGTGGAGTATGATGAAAATGTTCAAAATGGGTCTTTTTTCTTTTTACAGAGGTGACAAGATTTTCATTTGGATTCGGAGAGATCCTTTGACTGACAAAGTGATGGAAAACATCGTACAGCAGGCTTCTTCTTTGAAACCTTTATTATGAATTATGGAGGAGTTAGGCACCGTTTCAGCCTCTGAGTATAATGACAGCACCCCAGCCTGGGCATCTATGCCCTCTGCTCCCAGCAGACAGCAGGACACACTTCCCAACCTGCAGACACGATTCAAAGACATGACAGGGATGCTCTTCATGGTGACCCTGAATGTTCTTGCACTCCTGGCCAACACAGCTGTGATGGTGGTTGTCATCAAAGCCCCTCATCTCAGGAAGTTTGCCTTTGTGTGTCACCTCTGTGCAGTGGACCTGCTGTGTGCCATCCTGCTAATGCCTCTTGGCATCGTGTCCAGCTCGCCATACTTTGCTGGTGTTGTGTTCACTGTACTGGAGTGCCAGATCTATGTCTTCCTCAATGTAATCCTTATAGCTGCCTCTATCTTCACAATTACAGCCATCAGTGTGGAACGGTATTACTATATTGTTCATCCCATGCACTATGAGGTCAAAATGACTCTGAAGCTGACCTCAACTGTTGTGATATTGGTGTGGGTGGCGTCTGCCATTCTTGGCTTTTCCACAATTTTTGGATGGCCATCTTATGGCCTGAGGTCCATAAGTGCTGCACACTGTTCACTCCACTGGAGCCACAGGGATCACAGGCGTATTTTCTCTGCCCTCTTCAGCGTCATTTGTTTTTGTCTGCCAGCTGTGGTCATTTTTGCTGTCTACTGTAACGTATACAAGGTTGCCCGTGTGGCAGCGCAGCAGAATGGACCCCTGCCCTCATGGACGAACACTCAGGTCAAGCATCGCTCGGACTCCATAAACAGCCAGACAACAATCATTACAACTCACCACGTCTCTCGCAGGATTACACGTGGGCGACCTTTTATTGGAAGCAAAGCTGCTCTCACCCTTGTGATTATTGTTGGTCAGTTTCTAATCTGCTGGCTTCCTTACTTTGCCTTCCACCTCCATCTGATACTAGATTCAAATCCTCACACCCCTAATGACTTGGAGGAAGTGGTCACCTGGCTCGCATATTCCTCTTTTGCTATGAACCCTTTCTTTTACGGACTCCTAAACAGGCAGATCCGCGAGGAGCTGTATAAACTGAGGCGCTGCTACTCAGTATACCCAACAGACTTGACTTGTTCCAGCCATGAGGGCTCAGGCCAGGAAAACTTCTTTCACTTCCTTCATAGGACTAGTTGCACCATAGAGACACGTGCAAGTTTTGCAATACCTAGTCCCAGAACCACCCTAGACCACGCTCAGCAGACTGGTTTCAGGATACCAGGTCAGATTCCAGAAGAGTTGAATTAGATATAGTGTACTACTTTGACATAATCTTAATAACATTTTGTATTATAAAAAATATTTATTGTCTAATAGGTATGCATAACAGGTTTGCACTGAAAAATAAGAAACAAGATTAGTTGTGTCTTGCTACAGTACTCAGATTTTAAAAAGTTCTGAAAACTACAATGAAGCCATTACAGATGTTTCACAAAATTAACTTTTTTTAAAGAATATTTTAGACATAAGTGTCCTTTATTTTGTTATTTTTTCAAGTATGTAGATATGAAACTGGGTTACAAGAGAGGGGAGAGGCATCTGGCAAAGGTAAGGAGGACCAGGACTCGAAACCTGCAACAGCAGGTGTTTGGGTCATGCACTCTACCTCCACACCATAGCAACACCCCAAGCTTTACATTTTTAAGCTATTCAAATAATGATACCTTTCAGAAGCAATCACTAGTTCTATTTTAATGAAAATGAAGAATATATATATATTATATTATTTATTGAGTTGTCTGAATCAGTCAACGGGTTTTCATACAAATGGTGCAGAATGGTGCAGACGGCCTCATTCAAATATGGATTTTGTGTGCTACTGGCTGCCATCAAGGATAATCAGGAAGAGCAGAGATGGAAAAGACAATGATAACAATAATACTTTCAATTCATACATTCCACTTTACAAATGAGTATCCCAAAGTTCTACAAAACAAGAGTAAAACATTTAAACAAGATTTTAAAATTATAAATGACAAAATCTCGAAAAAAAAAAGTTTCTATTCTTTTTTTTTAAATACATAACTTTTGTGCACTAAAATGATCAACTGAGGACAACGCCCTTGTCTCTGCCTTTACAGACCCTATTATATTCCCATGATCTCTAGTGGCTGTCTGTGTTTACTTTTGTAGAAGATTACATTTTCATAACCTTCTCTCTGTATTATGCATGTTTTGATGATCAGCACATGGTCTGCATATTCACAAAGGAAAACTGGACAAAATGTAAGACTTACTGTTCTACTCATTGTAGAGCGGAAAGTCAGTGTGGACCTGGTTGATAGTTCAGTTTTGTGTGGTATTATGTTTGTATAGGTTTTTAGTGGATCCGGCACCGGGCTATCTTAGAGAAGTAATTGTAAAATGAGGAAATAAGAAAAAGAATAGTTTACATTTTTTTTTATTTATTAAAAACAAAATGTGGCATGTATTTTTTTTAATTGTCTGTAATAATGTTTTCTTTTTTTTTTTACTCAGAAGTTCAAATTTCCAAGTTCATGCTTTTTTCACCTTCTTTAAAACCCAACATGGCTGCCTCAGTGTTAAAGGTTGAGATACCTCAGTTGTAATTAAAAAAACAAAAATATTATATCTGTACTTGTGACAATGCATATCAATTTAACTCTCTAACAAAAGCAATGTTAATCTCCTTCTGTTAATATGTAGTGTGTGATATAAAAAAATGTATAACATTGTCTTTAGATTTGACTGTAAATAACAGATACCTTGAAAACCAAGTATTTCAACCAACATATCAAACATTTGTTGAAATTGTAATATGTTTTGTTTTTGGATGTCATTACCTGAGAAATTAATGATAGTAATATTTCATCTAAGTACCACTAAAGGTGTGCAAGGGACCACCAGTAATAGTTGTACCAAAGTTTAAGGTTATGGATCAAAGTAAATTTCATGTGTGAGACCAGTCCAGTCAAAGTACAGACTGACATCAAATCAACGATATGAGGAACAACTTGAAAATAGTTTTACACATTACGCATTAGTTATTTTGTTGAAGGAGTAAGATACAATTTTAGTCTTGAGAAGTGTAAAGCTGGTAGAAACATAGCCCAATATGAAGATGTACTTTCAGTAAAATGTGTCTTGCAGCATTTGCTTTTCACATTTAAGCTTCAGACTTACAGCATGTATCACTTTCCATCCTCTTCACAATAATGATCTATTTTCTGCTTGTCTGTCATCTATAGTAACAATAAAGTGATACTTTTTCTAAATTATTTGTGTGCTTTGATTCTTATTTTTCTGTATTGGCCTCATCTGCTTTAAAAACAACAACTTTGTGAATGGACAAAATGTCCTTTTATCCATTCACTGAAATGTTCTAACTGGTGGAAAAAAATGCTAATGCGAAAACCATTTCAGCTCTGTTTCCACCTGGGTGATTCTCCATAAATTAATCTCTGATCAAATCTGAGTCCAGTTTACACATAGTTATATAAATAGAAAAATAATGTCATTTCATAAGAGATGATCTGAGTGTTTTCACCCATTTTTCTGCAGTGACATAAGCTCATATCAGAGTCCCTATTTAACTGTTGCATCATATTAATACCTCCCCCATTGTGATTTACCACCGTATTAGGGAGGATTCTTCATGACAACAGATTGCAATCACAGCTGCTGATCCATGTTAAGTAGAAATGTTGACAAAATTTGCCAATGTGTGATGCAGATTGAAGAGATAACATCAGACAGACACACTGCTAAAGGCAGACAAATACAATTTATATGCCTAGTTAACCTTTTTTTAAAAGCTGTTACAGGGATGTTCTCAAAACCACTTAACAAAAATAGGTTAACATATTGTGTTATGTAAAAATAACCTTATGTTTCATGGGACATTAGAGACAGAAATATAATGTTGTCAATGGTGAAACAAATATGACTGGCACACTGGAAAAGCCCTGCACAAACACACTTTTACAAACAGTAACTGATATGCCTTTTATTGACTTCTGGATATGTTCAAAGTAAATAACATCCTGCAATTTTATGGTCACAGGCTGCAGACAAATCCATGTAAGTGCTGGAGAGGAGCTACCAGAACAGCTCTGTTGATAACAATGTAGTAGAGTGCTCTTATCAAAGGCAGTACAATAAAAGGTACACTTATGGTCTATAAATATAACACAATATTCCAATGCAGGTTTGTTCTAGCTTACATTTTCCAGAAGTTTACATATTTTCATCATTGCCATGACAGTAATACCCATGTTGGACCTTTAAAACAAAACAAGATTTGTATGAAAACCTTTGAACTCATGGTTATCATGTTTTATATCGGAACAGTGCCAAACGAAGGCAGACTTAATAATGAAAAAGAATTGTGAAAAAAAGCAAAACACAGCCACCTACAACTATAAAACAAACGGGAAAAGACATTGAAGAGGATTTAATGTAAAAGAAGAAAACTGAGCAACCATGAGCACCAATTAAAACTGAATTCAATTGGTTAATTTCTATAGCACCAATTCACAACATGTCATCTCAAGGAATTTTGCAGAGACAATTTTACTAGATCATAAGTTCAGATTGGTTCAAAGTTTTCTATCTAAAGAAAACCAGCTGATTGCAACGACTCATTGACTCTCTGCATTCGCTCACACCAAGAAAGCATGTAGCGACAGTGGAGAGGAAAACTCCAGTTTAACAGGAAGAAACCTCCTGCAGTTCCAGGCTTAGTGTGACAGACCATCTGTTGAAGCCGGCTTCAAATGTATAGAAGCAGACATACAGAGAAAAGGAGAGATACAAAAGCCTGTGAGCTTAATATGGAAGAGGATTAAACAGTAACATTTAAAGCACAAGAGCTTAAATAGATAGATTTGGAACAGCTGTGAAAGACCAAGAGCAGAGAGACATTAATTACTAATTACAATTTTTTTCAGTTCACTCAAAGCGCATTAATCTAGAGCCACATTTATCCAGTCACACCCACAAATGCACACAGACTTATACACCAAAACTGAGGGCGACTGATGGAAACAGCTCTGCGGTGGACCAGGATAGTGGCATTCCTCAAGCAGGCCTTAAAGGTGCTTGCACTGTAACGTGCTGGTGCTAGTTGTGTCGAGAAAACTGCACTGATGTCACTGTGATGTACTGCAGGGGCATTGTGTTGGTTATGGTTTTCAACATTTGTAGATACTGTCTGCCTGCATGAGAACTGTTGCTGCATCTGCATATGAAATGTAGAGTGCAACAGCAGGTAACAAGGGTGCATAATGTACTTTTTGCGCAAACATTGCCTTAAGCAGTTAAAAGTTGGAAGGGATACATCAGGTAGCACTGCAGCAGGTGAGGGGAAAGCCGGTGGTGCTACCAATGCAGAGCTAAGGAGAGGCCAGAGATGAAGAGCAGTTTTTGTCCTTGGATGACACCAGAAGAGAGACTAAATATCTTTAATCCATATACAGTCAAGATTATAAAAGCAAAATATTTGGTTCCCGTCTGATATATGATTCAGTTATCCATAGCAAGTTGCACCCTTCAATATGCTTTTTATAATCATCTTATGTCATGACTGTACAGTAGGTTGATAGCTGATCCATCTTCGTGGAAGAATCTTTAATCTGTGAAGTTTATTTAAATTTGGTGTTTTCCTGCTTGAGTCCAACTTTTAAGCATTCTTCCACATTTCTGGTATAGATGTTGTTACAGCTTTGATTTGCATTTATAGTAATTTGTAATATATTCTTTTTTTAGTTGTTTTTCAATGGTTCCAAATCTCCACAATCAACCTGCTTTGCTGATTTAAATTTAACAAAGATTGTCCTTCTTATTTGTTTGGTGATCATGTCATGATCTTGCCTGTTTGCTCTCTCTTAATTAGTCATTCCTTTCACCTGTTGTTTTCCCTCCCTGCCTCAATTGTAATTTATTCCTCTCACCTGTTTCCTCTTGGTTATATTCAGTTCAGCCTGAGCATTCAAGGCCAGATCATTATTTGTCTTTCTGTTAGCCTGTCTGTTTTATTCCTAGGTTCGTGTCCTGGATCGTGGCAGCCAGTGGGAAGAGGGTTTTTGTGTTTGTCTCGTCTCCTGATCGTCCACTGTTCCTCCCCCGCGGAGTCCTCTGCATGGGTTTTGGCTCTATATGTGGGGAGGTTCAGCTTTTATCTCAGTAAGCCTGGCTCCAGGGAGGAGACCAGTTTAAAGTCCTGCATCAAGTTCTGCTTCCACGTCCTGTCTCGGCTACCCTCTTCCACTGAGCCTGCTCATCTGCAC